CCACTGACGTTTGTCAATGTAATGCTGACCTCCTGTGGTAAATGTTATGCTCATCAATACACAGATGTGATTTGTCTGAACCGTTACTATGGATGGTATTTTTCGGGAGAGCTGGAAATCCGTTACGCATCCGGAGTTCTTCCCAAAGAATTAACAGGTTGAGCAGAGAAGGGAAACCTGTTCTGGATACCACCAGGGAAAATATAATAACCAGTTTTCTTAGGACTATTATATTTAAACACAGCCCGGATATACCCGGGAAGAAAAAGTATGACAGACTCATCAGCTGATGTTCTCAGAAAAATCCAACTTTATCTGATGAATATCCTCAAGCTGTACTGATGGAAAATAATATCCCTGAACGCCCCATAAACCAGCACCTGAAGCAGCATGCAGATAATTCTTGTTTTCAACACCCTCGGCAATAACCAGAGGGCATAATCTTTTTATATTGTCTATTAATGCAGCAAAATGCGGTTTCATACCGTGTATTTGAAAAAATTTTTTGTCAAGTTTCACTGCCTGGAATTTATTTCTTATCAACGTATGTATTGTACTGTTACCACTCCCTAAATCATCCAGCCAGATATGTTCTGACAGATTAATGAGAAAAGGAATTATTGCATCATCAGCCTTTATGACCGGGTATGTTTCAGAAATTTCAAGAACAATAAAATCATATGACTTTATTATATCCTGAATATTTTTATTTCTGTATATATACTGACATGTATCATAATCGACGTTAAGGGAGCACAGTATATTATGCTTACTAAAAAAAGAAGCTTTACTTATTATTTTTCTTATCTGTAATTCCAGCAAATCAATTTTCATCTCTGCTGTAAACATATTCAGCGTTTTCACGGTAGGAAGTTGTTTTCCGTTAACAGAATAAAATCGGCTCAGAATTCTCCACCGCAATCAGCCTGTTACTGTTACCCGCCGTCACGACAGGCTCTGCTATGAAGATAGTTTTCATAAACTGCTCCATATGTGAATTGTTGCTTTCTCTTATGACTGTTGCTGTCAACGAATTAAACAAAAAGTCCCTGTTCATCCCTTCATCTGCCATGCCCTCCCCCCGGAATAAATCAGTACCAGACAGAGCGCAGCACTTCTTTACAGCACAAAACAGCAATATAATCAATTGCTTTTTATTTATCACGTGACAACCATTACAAAAAAACAAAATATTTTTCCTTTCTTTTCCTTTCATCCATACTTACATAAATAAAAAACTGTAACAGCGCAAAGAATTATGATTATCATCTGCTCCTTCATACTGAAAAAAGATCATTTGATTTTCGGTTTTTAATGATGTGTTAATATTAAATTATGGCGATATTCTTCTTGTTAACCCATCTTTGATGACAAGCTTTCTTACATTTTCAGATAAATTCACTGAAGTACCTCTGAATGAAGATACAGTAAACCATTATATACACCATCGCCATACAGGGAAAAAAACAACATACGACGGACCTGTTCATTTTCTGAAAAAATGTTTTGCCTACCCGGAAGTGTTGTCAGAACTCATAAACAATATAAATTATGAAAATCATATCCATCCGGAATTCAGAGAAGCTGTCTGTTTCTCGTTATTGTCAATTTTTAATACCCGCCCCGCTTTAATAAACTTCCTTTCATCTGGCCCCTCCTGCTTTTCAGGAAAAGTACGAAACATATTACTGTCAGGTATATCACGACAATGGAAGTTGCGCGATATATCTGGTGTCCCTCTCAATCAGCCCGTTTACCCTGTATTACCATTCAATTGCCTGTTTTTATCGTTGGCTCCACCAACCTGTATAATATCGTGACCAACACACCCACTAACATTCGGTCCTCACGATATGAGGAATCAGACCACTGTCAGAGAAGATTGCTCATAACAACTTCATTTCTTCCATAAAGTCGTCCTTATCTTCATAACCAACTTTTAATCAGCCACCCTGACCCACTCCAGAAAACAGACCGCATTAATATCCATTACTATATCGGTGTTCCACTCTCCGGAAATTCGTTCATCACGTACACAAAAAGTCGGTGCTGAACGTTGGCTGATATAGTCCATGGTTTCTTCATCACGATCGTAAAGAGTTGGATGCAGCCCATACTGGTAATAGAGCGCGCCATTCTTCTGGTCGAACATCCACTGCTTAATACGCCAGATCCCCGCCTGCCCAGGCAAAAAATGTACACTGAAACGTTTACTGTAGTCATTCAGCAAATGTTCCTGAACTGACAGTAACGGATTGATGGTCACCGGATTGAGTAACAACAGCCGATAAGTATTGTTTTCTCGCGTCGCGACCCAGCCAGAGCCGGAAGCAATTACAGCCCCCTGCAGGCGTTCCCTGAGAAGGATTATATGGAAAATCGGTCGTTTGGTGGTGGCGGTAAAAAACAACGACAGACTGTTATTTTCGATCGCCCGTGCTGATGATACCTCGTGCTGTAATTCGGAATTAAGATACAGTCCAATCATACTGATCTCTTTTGGTAACACCAGCAACATATCCATCAACAGGGCACCACGAAAGAACCGCCCATTAGTCATCAGCGTATTTCCGGTCAACGTACTCCACGACTGGAGATACAACGGACAGGAAACCTTGTGTTTACGAAACAACTGAAGCACGCCTTCCAGTTGCTGGCAAATCACATCATGATTTTCCGGTGGTGTATAGTCAGCTTCGTGCATAAAATTACAACACGCGTTGGGATAAAGTGACAGACCAATAAAATCAATCTGTTCAGACAGTCCACCGGAAAACAGCTGTTCATAATCTTCGTACCGGCACAGCGTCAGACCAACCCGCCCCCCGGGCAACAAATCCCGTACAATATTCAGTAGCGTCTGACTGAACGCCAGCCGCTTTGTCATTTGCACCATTTTTAGCGATCGCATATCCAGGATAAACGACCAGCTCTGTACATACTTTCTGCCCAGAAGTAACACATTGTGGGTGTCGAATTCTCTTAGCTGCACCACAAATTCGCTGTTGTGAAATGTACTGACCTCCGGTTCCAGGCGAATCATAAGACTTATACCCAGATGCCTGAGAAAGTTACAGGCAATATCAAGGTTACTCCAGGGTGACCAGGTGGGAATGATCTCACCTGTATCGATATTGCGTGGAAAAAAATTATCGGAAAGTGGAACCCTGACCTCCACCTGAAAATCCGGAAAACGCTCTTTCAGACACAATAACTGTTGCTGAATATGCTGTTTCAGCAACTCATCAAAACTACCAACAGAGATCACATAATGGCGGGGTGTTATCGCTCCACGGGTTGTCCCGGATTGCAGATGAATTTCTTCACCACACTGCACATTCTCCAGTTCCGGGGACGACCGGGTATCGTCAGGGATATCAGACAGCAAAGAGAACAGTTCAACCAGATTTATCTGGCGGGTGTCACAGGCCCCCTGATCCTGTAACGTCTGGTTCCTGATAAAACGGATCCTGCCAGCTTTCACGTCATGGCGCCAGACACCAGGCTGAACACCGTAACGATGACGAAACAACGTTAAAAAACGTCGGTAAGAACTGAAGCCGCAGTCACTGACAATTGTTGTGATTGGCCGGGTGGTCAGTGCAATTTCCTGTACAGCATGATTAAAACGTATACCTGTCAGGAAATCACGAAAATTCATCCCGATATCACGAGTGAACTGCCGGGAAAGATGAGCGGCCGTAACATGAACCCTGGAAGCCACATACTGCAGGGTGAGTTTTTCCCGGAAACACTTTTCAATCAGATCAACCACCCTGCTTGTCCGCGAGGTAAAATCTGTCACCGGTACCGTGGCTGGCTCGCACCTGAAGTGTTGGATCAGAATGCACAGGATGTCGAGTAACGCCTTGTTGAGCTCCAGTTGCCAGACATCTTTTTTTTTGAGCCACAGTATCGCAATACGACTAATCAACTGGCTGAGCCGCCGCGCCTGTCCGGGAGAAGGGTGATGTCCGATACTGAAATGGGTATGATTCAGCACTTCTCCACTGTGGAACAACCACCACGGGGAAATAGCCACAACGACGGTTATATTGTCCTGGTCTCCTTCAATCTGCCAGTCACTGTTACGGTTTATAACCTGAACCTGGTCTTTATTAACCTTCAGCGGTGTATTTCCTGCCACTGATAATCTGACACTTCCTTTCAGTACCAGCATCAGATACAGGCGATTGTCACGGATGAACCGGTAATTGATGACATTGAGAAACTGAACTGAAAACACTTCTGGCTGTTCTTTCATTTTATTACATTTTTATTCCGTGAATAATAGTTTTCTTCACAGAATATCAAAAATGAACCTGGTAATTTTTGATGCAGGTGAAATAACAACCAGAATCCGGACATAAAAAAACACTATATTCATCATGAATATATCTGTATTCCCCTTTATACATGTTTCAAAATGATATGCTCAATAATCAGCCAACGAAAAGGAGAACTTATGACATTACAGGAATTTATTGACAGGAATTTTTCACGCTATACATCGTTGCGCCGGGACCTGCACCGGCATCCTGAAACCGGATTTGAAGAAATCCGTACCAGCAATCTTATTGCTGACTTACTGAAAAGCTGGGGATATGAGGTTAACTACGGAATGGCGAAAACCGGTATAGTCGGTACGCTACAGGCTGGTAACAGTGACAAAGTTCTGGGATTACGTGCTGATATGGATGCATTACCAATGCAGGAAAATTCCGGAAAAGCCTGGGAAAGTACAAATGCCGGTAAGTTTCACGGTTGTGGTCATGACGGACACACTGCCACGTTATTGTTTGCTGCTGAGTGGCTGGCAAAAACACGTCGTTTTAACGGTACACTACACGTCATTTTCCAGCCCGCAGAAGAGTTGTTGCGCGGTGGTCAGGTTATGCTTAATGATGGCGTGTTTCGACGCTACCCCTGTGATGCCATCTTTGCATTGCATAATATGCCCGGGCTCAGGACGGGAAGTTTCCATTTTCGTAAAGGTGCAATGCTCTCTTCTTCGGATACATTACAGATTGATGTGACTGGTGTTGGTGGTCATGGTGCATTTCCGGAAAAAACCATCGACTCAACAATGGTGGCCTGTTATATCGTTACAGCCCTGCAGACTATCATCTCGCGTAATATCCCCCCCTTCCAGCCAGCCGTTATCACTGTTGGCAGTATTCAGTCGGGCAGTGTGGCGAATATTATCAACAGTAGCGCAACTCTCAGACTTAGCGTACGTACTCTGGATCCACAAATTCGTACTCATATTCTGCAACGTATCAGCGAAATTGCAGTCAGTCAGGCAGAAAGTTTTGGCGCTAAAGCAGAAGTTCATCATGTTCACGGAAGCCCGGTTTTAATTAACGACAGTGAAATGACGGATTTCGCTATTAGCGTCGCCCGCGAATTGTTTGATGAATCCCTGATCGAACCTCATACCCCCCCTGTGATGGCCAGTGAAGATTTCGCCTTTATGCTTGAAGAGAATCCCAGGGGAACTTATTTTTTTATCGGTGCAGGTGAAGGCTGCCCGGTACATAATCCAGGGTATGACTTTAATGATGAAATTATGAAACCTGCAGTGACTTTCTGGGCCACACTGACAGAACGCTTTCTTAATTAACTGTATTCATCGATACATTATATATAAAAGTAACCATCTGTAATAATCACAAAACCTGTCGCTATAAAGTACCTGTTTATATCAGGGATATTCATGCTGGTTATTTCACTCCCGGGTGAACGATAAATATCAGGTAAAGGAGAACTCAATGAAGTCAGAAAAAATAACTTATCAGGGGAGCGGGCGTCTCATTTTCGGCATTGTCTTACTGGTATTAACTTTCTGGATGTTTGCACAATCAATGCAGGCGGCATTACTCCCTGTTATCGCCAGAGATTTTAACATTACAAACAATCCGGCAAAAATGGATTTATTAAACTTCGCCGCGTCAATCACTCCTCTCTTTTCTGCAGCCTGTATTGTGGCGGCCGGGGCACTGGCGGATCGTTTCGGCAGGATGCGTTTTTCGTTTATTGGTGTGGTATTAAGCGTGGCAGGCTCTGCGATTGTTGCGTTAGCTCCTGATACAGCAATATTAATTATTGGACGCGGGCTACAGGGAATTTCTGCCGCCTGTATCATGCCGTCAACCATTGCTCTGATGAAAACCTGGTTTGAAGGTAAAAAGCAGGCAACAGCATTAACCTGGTGGTCCGTCGGTTCATGGGGAGGCTCTGGTTTCTGCGTCATACTGGCAGGTTTGATAGAACCTGCTCTTGGCTGGAGAGCAATTTTCTGGATCAACGCTGGTGTGTCCATTCTTGGTTTACTGTTAATTCTCGGACCTCCGGAATCAAAGGCACCAGTGAATGACAAAAAATTTGACACCTGTGGCACCACAATATTTATTGCCTCACTGATATGCCTGGTACTGGCGGTATCCAAAGGCCGAAGCTGGGGATATGGTGATATTAAGTTCCTCGCAACAACAGGTTTATCAATTGTTGGTTTAATCAGTTTCTATTTCGTTGAAAAAAGCTTACCTGTTAAAGGCATTATCCAGCTGGTAGATTTTTCGTTGTTTAAATCCCGTGGTTATCTGGGCGCTACATTATCCAATTTCCTGCTTAACGCAATTGCCGGTGCGATGGTGATTGTTAATACCTATATGCTGGAGGGGCGTGGCTTAAGTACCGGAGATGTCGCCACCATGACCATTACCTATGCAGCAGCAGTACTACTCCTGCTACCGGTGGGACAGAAAATTCTGTTTATCTTTGGAGGCCGACTCCCCATGATTGCTGGTACTGTTATCACGTCTGTGGGTGTCATGCTGATGTCCATGACCAGTATTGAAGATCTGATGATGTATAAAATGCTGGTGATGGTCGGTTATGCCATGTTCGGCCTCGGACTGGGAATTTATGCCACACCATCAACCTATATAGCAGTATCCAGCGCACCGCAGGAAAAAGCCGCCGCGGCCGCCGGAATTTACAAACTGGCCAGCTCTCTGGGGGGAGCCATCGGGGTGGCACTGTCTCTGGCCGTTTACTCAGCGTTCAGAAATATTAATACAGCCGGTGCTGCCGGACTGTGGCTGAATGTTAGCTTCGGATTACTGGCACTATTATCAATTCTGTTCATTATTCCGGGTAAACAGGATAAAACCGCCGTCTGAATTCACATAAACTTTCAGGCTTCTTACCAGGTGCGGGAGAGGGATCCTCCCGCCATCCACATCAGGGACAATACATAAGGATGATAACGCAACCGGGATATCCGACAGGGACGAACGAACACCTGTAATATCGACCAGATTTCTCAAATCTCACCCTATGAAACTGACGACGCAAAATGGAAGATTCTGGCATCCTTCCAGAATTTTTCTGGTACAGGAGCAGACTGATACAAATTGAAGGAATGATTATTCAGTACAGCATTGCCCCCGGTTTCCTGACAGCGTAAACATGAGGTTATGTGGGCCTCAGTCATGCTGTTTTTCTTACGGAAGCCCCGGAAATACCTCACACATTCAGTTGTCTGGGTTTTTATGAAGTTTACAGACGCCGTAGTCGCTGATTCTTCGTCCAACCATGTTACACACGATATTCAGCAACCTGCAGCCAGAGTCCTCCCTGTTCCCGCATCTTACACAATATTCTGAATTATTGTCGCCTGAGGACCCGTTTTATAATGTTACCATCATACTTTAGATGCCCATCTGCATCACAGATCGCAGCGACGACTGCGTTTAATCAGTAACGCCAGTATCCCCGGGCGTCCGTGGTACATAACCTCTTCATCAGCCGCTGCCATCTCCACCAGGTGAAACGGCATCAGTATCATCGGTAACCGGGGATCCTCAAAATGCCACTCCATACCTGAACATTCTGAACGCCATAAACGCCCCTGAAAGCAGCAGCATACGGTGTGGTGTGTTCTTCTCTTTTTTACTGCTCACCATACCTCCCTTTTGAATTTGTTATGACCTGTTCCACCACTCAGGGCTGCAGCATCCTGTCAGGCCTTAACCTCACGCTTTCAGACCAGCACGACGAATCACCTCCACCCAGTATCCGACAACCTCCTCACTGTGTTTGTAAAAATCCTTCCTCCCCCCCAGAATCTCCACGAATTCCGGAGACATGTCCTGCAGATAAGTCTGCAAATCATGACCGAGATCTTCCGGTGACTGCAACTCGTAAACCGCACACCACACGTCACCCTGTCTGATTTTAAGCCCCGGATTAAGAATATACTGCCCATGATTCAGTCTCAGAAAGAGCTTTTTTCCATAAGGGTTTTTGCTGTTAACCTCATGTTGAGAAAGCTGGCTGCTGATATAATTCCTTCTTTTACGGCGCTCCGGCAACAACGCTTCAGGAAGGTGAGCCACACACTCTGCCAGCCGTGCCGCACTGAAAGCTTCCGAAAAGGCCAGAGCACTCCCCAGATGCGTGAAGAACAGTGCCTGCATCAGGAGCACCAGAAACATTGCCATCTGCCGGTTGTCCAGTTTGATGAGCCGTTCTTCCACCTGCAGTGAGAGACTTTCAGGTCTCAGCAGGGTATACAACTGCGCACTTTTCTGTT